TCCATCAACCAACCATAGTGAAACATTCGAAACGTGGAATTGATCGATTTCCGAATTCGAATGAGATCATCGAAAGTACGAGATGGGCTTCGGATCGAGAAATCCTGATTGCAACGATCCTCGCCACGACAACAACATAAACGCCCGTGTTTTCCCTGAAAAGTTAATTACTGGCGCTCCCTCTGGCACACTTCACTCATCAGTCATATTCTTTGTGCTCACCAGTAAAAGCACTCTTTCTGGCGCACTGAAGTCTTCATTTTTCTCTTGAGACCAAGTGATTGTTGAAAAATGAAGAATTCCCACCAGAAGGGGCGCATTTACAAATTTGAGTACAAAGTACCCTTCTGCAAACCTTATATTCAAACAAATAGCACATCATCGCCTTCTTCGTTTCATCGAGTCCAACCGTGATCTCAGAACATCTTAAGAATTGCGGATTAGGGTAATTTGAAATCCTTGGTTGCCTTTACCTTGGTTGCCTATATTGTGTCTCCGAGTTCAACCACCATGTGTTATTTCGATATTTCTAAAAGCAGACAAGATAACGGTAGCTTTTAGCTTTTAAAGCTTTTAAAGCTTTTAAGTAGCTTTTAAAAGTTGACCCTTTTTAGAAAAGACCTTATTTTGCCTTTGGAATACATCGTGTTTCACCATGGTTCTCGATTGACATCCGAATTCCATTTTGAGAGTTCCGTCGAGATTCTGAAGCTTATTTTATGTCTAAATAGGCAACTGTGGGGATTTCGAAGAACTAGCCCATCCGATAGAAAATTTTGTTTGTCAAATGGGGGGAGGGGGTCCGAACTCATAAACTCAAAGATTTCATTCGTTCCGTAGACAAGCACACTAGACGCTACACCACGACGAGAGTTGAAAGGGAAGCGTAAACTCTGCTCAAGAATGTATAGAGAAAAATTTGATCCCAGAAATCTCGCGTTTGGAAGCAGAATGGAAGCAGATTCAGGAGATTCAGCAGATTCGGATTCCCCGTCCGATTTTCAATTGAATGGGCTAGGCTAGGTCACAAAGTAAACTTTAGGGCTATTCTTATATCTAATCATGATAACAGCTAACCAACTGTCCTTCCAATAATTCCCTTGAAAACTAAAAACTCTTTAAACCCAAAAACCATATCATCAATTCTCATTTTTACAAACGACCACCATCTAGTGCACAGAAAGCAGCTCATGGTGTAACTTGTAAACGCTAAACGCACCCTTTCTAGTGCATTCAATTCTTCACTTTTCTGAATTGAGTGCACCAGAAAGTTGTGTTTATTTCAGCACAAAGTACCCTCGATAAAGACTCACATATGTGAACAGAGTGTAGCACCAAGGATCCTCACATTCTCGAAAAGTTCGCAGCATACCTGCAAATGATTTGTGCTTATGATGGCTGCAAAAGCACGTTACACCAGTCACAGTAACCAGTTACAGTAACCCTACAAGATCTCCTACCTCTAAAACCGTTCAGCACCCTTATGATAGCTTGGAGGGAGGGAGGGAGGCAGGCAGACTGTCTGTCTGTCTGCCTCCCTCCCTGTCTGTCTGCCTCCCTGTCTGTCTGTCTGTCTGTCTGACTACGGTATTTCGGTTACGGTAGTTTTATTTCCCTCACTCAATCCTTTCACAAACCCGATGCTGATTCCCTTGCATGATAGCATTTTTGCACATTCCCCTTTTTCACTTGTTTCATGAACTCGATTGAACAACCATCCTAAAATATCGGGTTTTCTGAAAATCAATCCTTTCTAAGTGCACCAGAAAGCCGCGTTTACCAGTGAGCACAAAGTACACTCATTCACAACTCACACTTTGTCGACAACAGCACACAGTGTCACCACTTTTCGTCACAAAGCAACCGTTTGTCTGATTCTGAAATCTCCAAGAATCTCTAAGAACCTTTCAAAAGTTCTCATTCGTTTTAAAAGCTTTTAAGCGATAAGCGATGAATTTTCGACAACTTTGAGAAGTAAATGCAAATTGAATCGTTATTTTTTCAATTGTTATCTTTTTTTTAAAATCTATCTTCAAATTTTCAAAGTTCTAACCTTTTTAGAAATCTCCTCGCATTGATTTCTCCAATCGCATCCAAAATTCCCGTGATTTTCCTCGAAAAGACACCAATCATTGCTCGATTCACAAGAACCCTGTATTCATTTAAAAATCGATATCAATTTAGAATCAATTTAGAAAAAGTTGCAATGTTCAATTGTTCTTTTTGTGGTTAACAGTCTTTGAATAGCTTAGATTATGAAAATTTAGATCAATCAAAGTTCAATTCAAAGTTCTATTTCAACTTCAACTTCAATTTTCAATCAAATTAAAAATGAAAGCCAAATTTTAGAAAATTCAAGCCACTCTAGATGTGCTTTGTGCTCAAAAGCTGTAAACACACCCATTTTGGTTCACTGAAGTCTTCATTTTCCCCGCGGCAACGATTTGCTTTGGAAAAATGAGAAACAAAGTGCTCAGAAGGGTTGTGTTTACAAATTTTGAGCTCAAAGTACCGATTTTCATAAACTCACTCGAACACTGTCCATACAAAATCGTGCTGTGATCGGTGTGAGTACGGAAGAAATGAGAAAAATGATCGTCTCCCAGCTAAGGCACATCAATGAGTGAAATGAATGGAAGATCGGGAATTTCGTCGTCAGTAACTCTTTTTGTTTCCCATTGAAAAGGAAATCAGTTGAGGTTGGCTATAAACTTTTGTAAAATATAAATATGAAAAGAAGTTGAAGTAGAGTTCAAGCAGTGATTGAATGAGTAAAAGAAGAGGGTTTAGGGCTGTTCTTGTTCTTGTTCTTGTTGTTGCTTTTGCTGTTATTGCTGTTGCTGTTATTGCTGTTGCTGTTATTGCTGTTGCTGTTAATAACACGCTCAATAGCTTCTTATAGCTCATTAGTTCTAGTTCTAGTTCTTGTTCTTGTTCTTGTTCTTGTTCTTGTTCTTGTTCTTGTTCTTGTTGAACAGCTGATGATTTAAATCTTGAAATGCCGTAAGATCGGACTTCAATAGACCTATGGTTGAAAGATTTAAATCAGTTTGATCTGACAAACCAAAGATTAAAGCTGTCGTAGCCGATTATGAATGAAATATTTTGGCAAATCTTTCTAGTAGAGCAACTCTTTAATTTATCAAGATAATATTATATCATCTTGTAGCGAATTCAATTCTGCGTCGATTGGTACCAAATTTGTGAGTTTAGGTTAAAAATTGCCGGCGCTACAACGTTTCATTCCGATTATGAATTATGAATGAGTGGGTCTAGGAGCGTCCAGTGAGTCTAGGAGCGTCCAGTGAGTGAGTCTAGGAGCGTCCAGTATGTTAAATTTTTTAAATTAGAAAGATTGGATAAAACAACGACGCTTTCATTCAAGATCGGTGCGATCTCCTGTAGCCGATTATGAATGAGTGGATCTAGACGCGTCAAGTCAAGGATCTAGACGCTAGACCATCAAGTATTTGATGCCATTCAACGCAGAATTATTGATAATTATGTGCAATTTTTGAAATTAGAAAGATTGGATACAAAGAAAAAAAATTAGAGCAAAAAAACTGTTTGTTTGAGAGAAAACTTTGAAGGCTCGTAATTTTTTTTCTTTTTATCCAATCTTTCTAATTTAAAAAATTTAACATAATTATTAATGATTCTGCGTTGAATGATACTAAATATTTGATGGTTGGATGCTCCTGGACCCACTCATTCATAATCGGCTACGACAAAGCAAAGATTTTAATTTCATAGTGGCCAAATTGAGTCATTCGTCAGCCAGTCGACAGCCATCCAGCTACTTTACCGTTATTCCTCCACATTCTTTTCCTAGCATTATCAATCCACAATCTAGAAATCTAGTAATCTTCTAGTAATCTAGAAGTAAAATCTTGTGAACAAGGATCATTCATTCAAGAGATTTACAAGGATTAAAAGGCTCTAACGTTTGTGCATTCATATGAAAGCCTATTTTCATTCCTTGGTTTCATTCAAGGGCTAAATCACTTGACAGCTATGGGATTTTATTAGATGTTTCAAATTTGATCTTATCCCTCTACACCAAGATCGATATCGCTCACGGTGCTCAATAAGCTAAAGAGTTAGTAGTAATGGTAAGACAAATCGAAAAGCCCACAATCGTTATGTTCTACCATCCTATTCTACCATCGAAACCTAGAACTTGACTCAATATTACAAAATGAACAAATTGCGACTTCTTCGCAGGAATCCTATCATGCAAAGCTCATGCAAATTGTGGATTTTTCGATTTGTCTTACCATTACTACTAACTCTTTGGCTTAATATGTCGCCACAAAACACCCCAACTTCCCGTCTTGAATGCGCACAATGGCAGCGGGAAGTAATAACGCTATTGATGCATAGGAAAAAAAATAGAGATCTAACGATAAAGTACCAAATCATCTTATGAAAGACAAAGAATTTCAAGATCGACTTTGAGTTTTCAAGTTGTTCAATCAAAAACCTACCGTAAATACTGTAATAGTACCCCATCCCCATAACGACAGCGCGGAGCGTTGCGTAGTCTAGCTTTGGACGAGTTTTTCTCGACACTGGCTTTACAATAAAGCTAGCCAGATTGTGTCAATATAACAAGATATTCAGCTAATAAAGAAAAAACCTTTAGAGCAGAAAAGGGATGGTACAAAAGAAGTAAACGATGGCGTAACTTCTAAAGATTAGCGAATGTTTTTTTGTGAATTTCTGAGTGATAAGATTGATCCTTTATACTGTAAATACTGTAATAGTACCCCATCCCCCTCGTACAGTCGCGTAGTCGCAAAAGTTTTTTAGTATTTCATTTTTTTCAAAGCGCTCGTACTTTCAAAAAATGCATCTTTGGTATCAAAAAATAGCTAAAATTCAGGGCTATTTTTTGATACCTATTGTAGCATTGTAGCATAAACCAGTGTGGAGAAAAACTCGTTCAAAGCTAGACTACGCAACACTCCGTACCGTCATTATGGCGGTGGGGTACTATTACAGTATTTACGGTCGGTTTTTGATTGAACAACTTGAAAACGCAAAGTCGATCTTGAAAAACTCGTTTCAAAGTCGAAATTCGCCGTTCAGTTAAATTTTTCAAGAGGAAAAGAATGAAAAGTAACCGCAAATCAAAGAAGGGAAATCAAGTTGACGCGTTGTGAAAAGAAAAGAAAAGCAAAAGAAAAGAAAAGAAAAAGAAAAGAAAAGCAAAAGCTTTCCAATATTATTCCCCTCTCTTTCACACCTCGAAAAAGATACTCGACAAGAAAGAATCAAGATGAATCCGAGACGAGAAAAGAGATGGGAAATCGCCTTACCCACCAGGGGGTCTTTATTTTGAGTCTAGAAGAATTTCCATAAAAATTTTAAAAAAAATCTTTCCTTATGTCAGCAAAAGATAAACAAAATCATTGAGTCAAAATAAATTGAGAAAAGAAAAGCATTTGAAGTTCTTTTTTTGAATCGTGAATCCTAAAATTCTGAAAAGAACACCTAAAAGGATAAAGAAAGAAATGTTTTAAGCTTAGATTTAAAATTGAATCAAAAATTGCCTTGAGATCCGTTTTGTTCAAATTGAAAACTCTTTTGAAATTGAAAACTCTTTCAAACATTTTTCAAAACAAACAACCGCTTTTCGTGGCTTTCAAACCAAGAGAAAACAAGTCGATTCCAAAGAAATTCCAAAGATTTCGCCGCTTTTTTCGCGACCACAAAATGGCCACGAACAATGGGATGCAAAAAAACGGCAAGGGAATGGCCCACTGATTGGTTCAAGTGCCCGGCTAGTAGAGTTCCTGAAAAAGAAATTGAAATGGGTAAGAGTCGCAAAGTGTCGTGCTAAAAAATCTTTGCTTTCATTTGCAACATAAACCCACAACAAAATCAATTGCACTAAATGTTTCTGCTCTTGACAACACGGAACAAATCCAAAAAGGATATCAATCAAACTTTGGCCAAATTGGTGAATCCGGTCATGTTCTGACAGCCGCTTTTTGCTTTTATATTTTGTAAAACCATGTTGGAAGTATAAAAAATAGGAAATTAGGTGTCGCTTGACACCTTTTCAACAAAAATCTTTGTGGTCTCCCCCCCCCCGCAATAATATATGCGCTATATTATTTTCCTAGGCTATGGCTATGGCTCCGCACTTTAATATCGCCGAAAGCGACCGTGTGACCTGATTGCATGTGGCTGATCAAGACAAAAGGTAACGGGCTTGTTGTGTTTTTTTTTGTGTAGGTAAAGCCACAACAACACGCTACCTTTCGACTTTAGCAGACGACGGAAACGCGTTACTACTTGGCTGCATATTTTGATAAAAACCATGAGGGGGGCCACATGGATTTTCAAATTTTTGTTGAAAGTGTCGAAAAAGCAAAATTCTTTTTGATACTTCTGACATGGTTTTACAAAATATAACAGTGAAAATAAATCGGTTTTAAGAAGATGACCGGATTCGCCAAAAACTGCAAACTTTTCACAAAATATTGACGTTTTCAGGATGTTTTTCTTTGACTTTTAAAATGCCATGTCAAAATGAGAATCCCATCTCAGGGCAAATCTCGGACCAGAATCTCGCCCCTTTTCTCTTCAGTTTGTGCATGGCGAAGAAATTGTCCTCGAGGCTGACAGGGGTAATGGAGAGTTAAAGCTTGAGATTCAAAGATGTGAAACCCTCGTTCTCTATTTGCTAAACCAAGTCGTATGCGTTTAACACAATTTCCAAATTTTTGCAATGCGTCAAGTTGAAAGTTGAGTCAACAGTGACGTTTAAAACCCAAGCCCGCAATATTTGCCAAAAATATTAACACCTAGAAACGACAATTGGGAAACTTGAAATACATGTGCTGCCTAATTCGAGAAGGTAAACCGCATTTCACTTTCAACTTAAAACCTTTTGCAATTTAACAACCAACTGTTAAAATAAGCGTCTTATTTTTAAATTATGATAAGATTTTATTTAAAAAAACAACAAAGTATACCGAAGTGTATTATTTAATCGAGCTTTTTGAATCCAATATCCTTTGAGTATTCCCGGAAGCACCGTCTGCACATGTTGATGCCGTACTTTCTGATAAGACCGTGGTGGTTGGAGCAGACACGGCAAGTTCGGGATCTAAACAAAATATATGAATATCTTCATTCAATCTACCACCTATGTGAGTTAATGCCTTACAGGAAATTTAAACAACAACAATTCATAAATACCTACCCAGGTCCATATTTGCGAGGATGAGAGTTCCAAAGCTCAGCGAAGCCCATTTTGTGAGAGTGTCTGTAAGAAACAAATTATTGCAACTTCGAAACCCGTATGTACATAAAAGAAAAGAAAACAACTTTTTCTTATGACTCAAAGCTAACAGGTACTTCTTTCAAAAGTTAAAACACTTTAAAGCATGGAAATGAATTAAAACAAAGATAACCATATACATCAATGATAACCATATTGTGAAAAATCAGTTGATGTAGATCCCTTGGTTTTATCCGTTTGGTCTTGGTTCTGATAGTATTGTTCTTCGGTGCCGTAGCCATAATTTGCCATTAAGTCGCTACTTCCACTAACCATCCTAGAGACTGTTGCAAAGTCTCTTGATTGGTTTCGAACCTCTCGATAGTTCAATGGCTGGCTAGTCGATGCTCTTTGCTCTGCCCACTCTTGTCGATGTTGTCGTTCTCTTTCGCGCTGTGACTCTCGCTTTAAATCCTCCATTCTGAGCACTCTTCGTAGACGAACCGGATGGCCAGCAATAGTATGCTCAAGAGTCATTATTGCAGTCACTGTAGCCGGCTTCGAGAATTCGACGAACCAGCATTTTGGTTTGTGAGTCTTCGGGGAAGGCACCTCGATTCCCACAATTTCACCATACGGCTGAAAAGCCGCACAAATCGCCTCTTCTGTTATCGCATCAACATCGCCAGGTGATCGTGCTGTAATCATTATCTTCGAAGAATACACCCGGCTCGAATCATTCCCCATCGTCAGATCTTTTAAACGACGAATTTTGATCTCGTAACCGAGTTCTTGCAGAATATGTTTCCCAGGAAACAAGAGGCAAGCCTGTGCAGCTTGATCGGTCAGAAATATGGCTACGGCATACGTAAGTGCTCGGTGCTCATTCAAATAAATTGGCTCCTCAACACTCACAAATCCAACCTTTGAGCTCATTGTAGCATTCCCGCACTTGGCCGGTTCCTTGTACTCTAAATGAACATCTCCAAATTGCTGAAGGTGCCGCCGAAGGTAAAAGTCATAGGATTCCCGTGCAAAGCGAAGACCAGTGACGATAAAAGTTCGGCTGTCGGTCGACGTTGAAGCCTTGGTGGCAGAAAGTGACATGAAGTCTCGAATCTAAAGAAAAAAAGTTAGTAAGGGCTATCAAAGTTGAAGCAAAGTGAATAAAAATAACAATAAAAATCTCAAAATTAGCGTTTTAAGCCGAACCCCGAGAACGGAAATAATTTTTGGCTCGACAAGATCTAACAATTCGGCGACAAAGAAAAGAATATTCGGTCAAAAAAGAAGACTTTGCAAAAATTGGGTGTTTGGCGCGTTGCCAGACGGAATTCCCACCAAGATTTCTTACTGTAGCCCCGCCCCTTAATTCAGCAATTTTTCAAGAGCCATTCGCTCTCCACAAATTTGACCATTCCACTCTTCTCGAAAATTGATCACACGCGATGATAAATTTCCTTTTTCCCGCAACTCTCTTCTCCTAATTCTCATTTTAGGATTGAGATATTTTGTGCTTTACAGCTAACTCATCATGCGGGTCTTTCTATTCATTGCTTCACTTTTTGTTGTTGCGATTTCTGATACTTGTACCACCGAGGATCATTGTGATCTAAGGTTTTTGAGACTTGTTAGCTAATCTTTTTATTTACAGGATGGCCAACAACGAGCGCACCTTCATCGCCGTCAAGCCCGATGGTGTTCAACGCGGCCTCGTGGGAAAGATCATTCAACGATTCGAGGATCGTGGATACAAACTCGTCGCCCTCAAGCAGGTACGCATTTTGGAGCTTTTGTAAATTAGTAGGATAGACTTCGAATCTGACTTAAGTTAGCGGAGGTTTCTTTGCATTTTGATGTGTTTGTTTTAGGTAACTCCCTCGAAGGACCATCTCGAGGTTCACTATCAAGACCTGAAGGGCAAGCCATTCTTCCCATCGCTCATCAGCTACATGCAATCTGGCCCAGTTGTCGGTTGGTGTTTTGTGGATGACGTCTGTTAATGAGTGTCATTTAGCAATGGTCTGGCAAGGACTCGATGCCGTCAAACAAGGACGCGTCATGCTCGGTGCCACCAACCCACTTCAATCTGCCCCAGGAACAATCCGCGGTGACTTCTGTGTCCAGGTTTGTTGCTCGTACTTCTTTTCAACTTTAAACTTTTCTTTTAGACTGGCCGAAACATCTGCCACGGGTCCGACTCAGTCGACTCTGCTAACCGCGAGATTGCCCACTGGTTCAAGACTGAGGAGATCAACGACTACACCAGCGATCAAATCAACAAATGGGTCTACGAATAAGCGAGTCTGCTAGGTCTCTTCTTAATTTTAAACTGTTTCATTTCTGTTTTTTATTAAGTACAATAAATAATTTATACCCATTTGAAGGAGAATGTACACAACAAACTAGATAAAGTTCTTGGCTTGTAGAAACCTCTGAGCGAAAAGTTAAAAGTTTATGATTATCGCGCCGCTCTGTAGTGGCTTAATTTTTGCTGTTCGTACATTTGTATTAATAATTTATCTAAAAGCAACGCATAAAACTATCACACAAGGTACCCGTTAAAGAATCAATTTAAATCTCTTCCTGCAGTCGTTTGAACAGAGCTTCTTTTGGCATCTTGTCCTCTCGTACCTATAAAAGGGAGGATCATCGAGTCTCTTATCTCCATAGAAACGAAGTCCGGGAGAAATTATTAACGAAATCTGGATGAGAAAGTCCAGAAAAAACCAGTAATCGGACGAACTCACCGCATCGATAACTGCTAGAACAGCATTCCGCACTTTTGGCTCGTCTTCCTCTGCCGCGGCTAGGCCTTCTAATGCTGGCGGTGGTGGTGGGAGACCATTAATTCGTGCCATATACTGCCGAAAATGGACTGTCTTCAAATGTCGCTCGAGATGATACTAAAATCTTGCGTAAAGTTACTAAAAATAGATCGACTTACCCTTTTACCAAAGAGTTTTCCACATGATTCACAGTTATAACGTTTCTCTCCAGCATGCGACTTCTCGTGCAGTTTACAAGCTGATGATGAGACAAAAGTTTTGCCACATTCCCAACTGCAACTGTAGGGGCGCTCTCCTGAAAGCTTAAAGGTTGCATAACTCAAAATCGATAAAAGACCTGTATGAAGACGAATATGTGATGTGAGTGCCCCTCTTTGCGTAAATCCAGCTCGACAATGTGGGCATTTAAATGGCTTCTCTCCCGTATGCGATCGTTGATGTTCTAGCGCTTTCGACAAATACTAAATTAAAGTTGATCACATAATGGTACCAGGCTTTCCAACCTTATTCACTTTTCCACAAATCTCGCAACGATGTCCCATCGAGAGTGGCTTTTTCGGTCCCGACGCAATCTAACTAGAACTTATTGCGAACGAGTTATTGCATTACCTTTCGAATAATCAGCTCCATGTGTCGATCTTTTAATAGGCTCAGCCGCAAGTCGCGACTGCCTTTGTTCTAAAATGAAATTTTGCGTCCGGTTAAAGTTTATAAGTTACCATAAATTCAGATTCAAGATAAACTGGATTCCCCTCATCATCCACGTACTCATAGGCTTCTCCTTCTTCTGCATAACTAAAAATGTTCAATAAAAAAAATCACTGCAAATCACAAAAAAAAGACTCACTCATTGCCAGAATAATAATCCTCGTAACTTGTACCCGGTCCCCCATCATCCATCATAATGTTGGAGTTGTCATTTGGCGGAATTTCGCCCTAAAATTGAGCAATTATATCTGTTTGAGTATTCGTTTATTAAAAAATAAAGAACTCAAAATAAATACCTCTTCCTCAAAAACCTCTTCTTCGGCGGCAACTGAAATTCGTGATCCTTGCTCGGTAAGATTATCGTCCTCATCATTTTGAATTCCTCCACCAGATGAGGGGAGAATCATCACCTGAAATTATTATTTGAAAAAGATGCAAAGCTTTCACTTAAAGTTAAATCCTATTCAAAAAATACTTGTCAAATAGCTTTCAACAAGATTTACTTTCCAAAGTGACAAACCGGTCTTCCATTGGCCTCCAATCGAAGCGGTTCATTAGAAAGTTCTATCGCCTCTCCATCCTAGAAAAAGATAACAATGTACAAATGGTACAAACTCACAATTGCATGCATTGGATTTTCCACCTGTTGTAATTGAAAAACGTCGTCAACCTTAAGAAAGTATTAAAAGAATTTGAAAAAAAACTAAACATACTAGATGTGGCACTGCCAGCGTTTCATTTTGCAAACTCCCTTGCATTCCACTATCGATTTGCTAAATGATATGAAATTTTTCTATCAATTATGAAAAATACCTGGACCCATGTGTTTCGTCGTTGAACTTGTAATTCGTGGGAAACAATTTTCATTTCACCACCAGTCGCTGCATCGACCTAATTCACAATTGAGCTTTTAAAAATTAAAGCTTTCAAACCTGCCACACAGAAGCTCTTGAATAGGCTTTGTTACGACGATGTTCCGATTCTCTGATTTCGTTCGAAGAAAAGTCATTAGAGACACCATAATTTGGCCCACCGTCTTCCTCGAAAGGATTATTCCCAACCTAAAAGCTTTCTTATAATTTTTGTGACTGTGCTATGGAGTATGCTTTTTAATTTCAAGGCACTTACCTCAATATGCATACTCTGCGAAATGATACCCCATAGTTTGCGTTCATCGGCTATTTTTCGTTTAAATTCCGGAGCCTAAAATTAAAATTAACAAAAATCCATTACGGATACTCACATGAGCCGTTCCATGTTCGACGAGGTAATGATCACTGAGTGTCGACACGTTGAGAGCCGGGAAACCACATTGTGCACATCTTAAACTGTCAGATTGGTAGGAAAATAAGTTTGAAATCTTCTTTACAAAAAAACTTGCCGATATGGGAAATTGCGTAGATGTCGGCTCCATATGTGGCGCTCAAAGACCTCGAGTGTTTCTGAAAATGAGAAAGATTTAGGTATATAATTGCCGACTTTTGTACCGATCTGTCTGTTATAACTCTCCCAAAGCCGTACAAGAAAATAATTAGTTACTAACAAAAACTTACGAAAAAAATGATCACATTCACTACAAGTGAAAGCAACGCCGTAATTGCCAAGCATTCACCCTGAAAATGTATGTTATTTTCATACAACCAGTTTTCTAATCGATAAGTAAATTCTGTACAAAACATTTTGGTGCAGAGATTGAGCTGTTTTTCGAACGATTTATTCAAAGATAGCAAAGCTTTCGAGATATTTTTACCCGATTGGAAAAATGAAAACAGCAGGATTACCCAAAAACAATTATTTAACAAATTGCCAATATCAGAGCAAATCCCTTAACAAAAATGAAATAAACATTCACATATCCAGATTAAGCCAATTCTCCTGAAGTCGCAGACATGTTGAGCCCCAATTCGGTCTCGTTCTCGTCGATTTGTGAAGCCGAACTGTTGAGCAAGAGTTCGAGCGCTGATTGAGTGCTGAATGAGGTCAAACCGAATGCACTTGGCAAATCAAATGAGGTGCCCGCGTTGTTTTCAGCCTGAAAATTTTACATTGAAAATGGTACTTAACTAGTGATGACAATGATTTTGCAGCAAGACAAGATATGAAATAAGTTTAAGTTAAAGTTGTACCTCAATGACATCATCACTCATTTCGGCAGCCTGCGATCTCAACATTCCGAGAGGATCGATAAGCTAAAGTCATAATAAAATAAATTATTCTTCATCAAATTACCAATCTTGAAGCAATTTCTTCCGTTGGATCCTGACAGTTTTGAGGCATGAAGTTTCTAAATCAAGAAAAATTCCTGAATAGCAGTTTTAAATGCCTGTAATCATCTTGCAACAAAGCATCAAAAAGCCCGTGTAGCCTGCGTTTCTTATCTTCCGTTTGATTGATCACCTCATCGCGAAGTTGATCAATTACAGCAAGAATAATTGACGACTCTATAATAATTATTTGTGAATTATGTGAACAAAAGAAAACATACCCAAGTTATTTAAAGGACGTTGCTCTTCTTCATCAATACACCACGAGGCCATCGCTTCGTAAATCTTGCGCCAAGTAACTTGCTAAAAAGAGCATAAATTTTCTTTGGCCTAGGACTAACCCACCGTCTGAGTAATTTCTCTGTCCCCAGGAGAATCCGTTATTTTGTAAGTCTTCGAAATGTTACTTTGTTTGCTTGCCTCACTTGCTATAGCATTCTAAATCAATTGTTGCTTTGAATTCTACAGATAAACAAACTCGCAAAGTATTTTGGCAAAAATAGGTTGAATTTGCTTCTCGGGTTCCAGCCATCGTGGAAAGCATCCGGTGCGTAAAGATTGACCAATAAAAACCAGACTAAAATACACAAAACAATAGCGTGGACAAATTATATTCACTTAGATAAATGTTATTTAAACTCTCAACACAATTACCTTTTTAGCAATTCGCTCTGAATTCCAATATTCATTCTCCATCTTTTGACGTTCAGCAGCCGCCATTCGATTCAAGTTTCGAATTTCTTCAATTTTATACCTTAAAGTACAACGTACCAAAAGAGAAAAAGAAAACTTTACCGAATCTGGTCGACAGTCTTGGAGGCAAAATACTTTCTTCGAATTGTACCCAATGAACTTTCATGGGCACCATACCTAAAGATAAAAAGTCTTGCATGCCAAAATCAACAAAACCATTGGATTCCCTCCAAAAGTTGTCGCAATTCCTGATTATTCCAATTGTCATTTAATAAAATCGACGAACGAGCAGCCTAAAAGGTTTACTAAACGTTATTAAGACCAGTTCAATTTTAAAAATGGTTAAACTTTTCTTAAATAATAACAAACCAATTCAACAACGTTGGGATCCGGAATCGCTTTCTTTAAAGCCTGAACTCCTCTGAACACTAAATTTCAAATTTCAAAGTAATATGCTAAACACAAACCTTTGGAAATATTGGAAGGACCGGGATCTTGCTCCTCTTGATCTTCGTCAACGCTATCTTCATTCTTGGCAATCTTATCCTGCAAAAGTTCACTTAATGAAGTAATAAATGGGACACCCAAGGCTAATTAGACGAGCAACTTACAAGCGTTTCTTCAGCATCCTCTTTCTTAATACTAACTGGTGTTTTGCGACGCGCAGGAGTGGCTCTTTGAGTCCTTTTTCTTTTTGGAAGTTGCCAAAGTTCGTCGGTAGATACGTCCAGAGACGAATCTAAATGAGAATCAAAATTTTAAAAATTGTATAACAATTTTTACCTGAATCCATCTCTTGACTGGCTCCGGAAGTGATCTAGAGCAAATAAATCATTGGCTACACAATAAAAACTAAAACCTGCATGTGATCATCATCGTTTTGTTGCACTGGCAAAGAAGTCGATGGCATTGGAGCCGTTTCCGCAGTGAGAGGAAGTTCTCTAAAAGATTTTATACAAATTTCTTGAACTAATTTGTGACTAAAGCTATTTATTCGAAAAAGATAACCCCTTACTTTGCTTGTGGATCCCCCGTAGGAGTCTTCACCCGAGTACTCTTTCGTTTTGGTGGCATTCCTAGAATTAAACTCTTGAAATAAGAGCTTTTTTGAAAAATAAAGTAAATAGAAAAGTTTTAAATACAAAAGCGGATTTAAAATTAGTTAGGAATAAATTTTCTATAATTTCAATTAACATTATCAATTAATTTTACTTCAATTCAGCAATGCTGCTTTTGTTTGTAAAGTTTACTTAATCTCTTTATCAAGTCCAATGAACCACAAACGACAGAAAAAGACCTGATTGACTTGGCAAACATCCAAATTTCTTTGTGTACGATAGGAAACCCAACAAATATTTATTAGAAACTTCAAGCGAATTATACAAACAGTGTTAAAGTAGGAAATTTTAATCTACGTAGAATATGAAAATACAAAATTTCTAAATTAACTAACAACCAAAACATATGCAAACAAACTTTAAAAGGCCAGATGAAGATCAAATTTTACGTAGACCAAAGGCGGTGTACGCAAAATCAAACAGCAGGAGTTCTCCTCTGCGGTAATCAATTTTCAGCCTAAATCACTTTGTCTTAAAATAAACAAATAATCAAAACAACCTCGCTGTTGCATGTCAGCAAGTCCTCGGTTAGTTCTTTTGTGCCTGCATCGAACCATTGGTGCTGCAAGGCCTCCGCAGCCGTGATGCGCTAAATGATGATATCACTGTAATTCAGAGAAGTCCTCACGTTAGCGCAATTAACTGTAAGCATGCAACGAACAAGCTTTTGTGCATCAATAGAAACGCGTTTCCATCTTGGGGAGAAAAGTAATCGTCCTAAAGTTGACTTTGAGAAATGGAGCAACGAACAAAATACCTGTGCGAATTTGTTTTTCCAAATCCATGTCGTTGTAGGACTCGCAAAATGGTGGATATCCTGAAAGCATCAGAAACAAGACAACTCCCGTTGACCATCTAGAATCAAATTGGATTTAACAAAACACAAAATTTACAGGTCGACAGCCGATGTGTAAGCTTCAGCGGTATCCCGAATCTCCGGAGCAATGTAGCTTGGCGTTCCCACATAAGAGTTCATCGTTGAAGCTTGATACATTATTTTGGCAAGACCAAAATCGCATAACTAAATTAAAACTGGGTTAAAGGCTTTGAAAGCAGTAAAAAAAAACTACCTTAATGATGGTCAGATCCATTTTTTCAAGTAATAAGATGTTCTCCGGCTTAATGTCGCGGTGAGTAATGCCACGAAGGTGGAGATACTAAATAACTTTTAGACTACGAATAAGATAACTGTAAAACCTCCAAAGCTTTCATAATCTGATATGTATAGAGTTTTGAAAGATTTTCGGTTAAGCCAATACACTAAATTAAAAAATAGATTAATCCGTAATGTAAAATTCACTTGTCCATCAGCATCTTGATAGTGGGTGATTTTTGTGAAAAGATCGCCTCCAGCTGCAAATTCCAGAACAATGTAGGAGCGCAGTTCATCTTCATAGTAGTCCAAGTAGCCCATACAAAATGGCTAAATATGTAATAAGCACATTAAAAGTGAATAAAGCATGGTACGTTTTTGATCGAACACATCACTTCGATTTCCCTTTTGATATCCTCAAGCTCAGCACAATGTCGCTGCCTAAACCGACTCTTATCTTCCGCCAAAATAAACCAACTGGCTCGGGTTCGTACGATTTAGAATTTTGATGGCTACACGCTTAGAAACCAGCCCACGCACTTTTGCTAGCAACACCTAAAACTAAAAATATGCCCACGATCTATAGCAAACCTTTGAATATCCTCCTTGACCAAGCTCCACGTTCGAGACCACATATTTGTTTGCCAATTTCTGGGGAAGGTCCTTGTATCGGCGCTCATCGTAAATCCAAACTAAAAACAATTTTATCAGCTCAATAGCAATTGATCAATAACTTACAATACAGTTCGGCTTTTCCCATCGAAATCACATCACAGTGATTTAATAGGACTCGCTCTCCTATCGCGTAACGTTCCTGGTTGATAAAAGTCCCTGAAATTTATCTGTTAGTAATAGTAAAAAGAAAACAAACAACACCCTACTGATTAATAACTCTAACACATGCACAACTAACACTTAATAGCTATCACAAACCGAAGCACAAGCACAAAAATAAGCAGGCTTTGAAATAACATAGTCAAGAAGAAATTGTTTTGCATCCGGGTCACTTGATGTCTTCGCTGTGACCGTGAGCATAAAAAGGTCGTTCCTCACGGGCATCCACAAATTTCACCTCTCTCAGATGCGCTATAATCTTCGTTTTGTGTTTGTTAAGCCTTCGTCGACGATGATGTCCGCGTCACTCTTCCCACAGTATGATATCGGCCATTAATTGAGAGATTCGTGGATGGGTGCTGGGAAAATCCTGAGCCTTTGGGGGCCACGTGTTTCGCAAAGAGATCGTCGTGTGAAAGTGGTGGCTCTTCTCCAAGCTGCGATCCCAATTGATCGTTTTCTCATTTTCCGCCTCCAGTTCGATGTTTCTATTCACCAACTCGTTGATCACTGTCTCCTCTCGTTCAGCATTTGTTCTAGTTCCTTCAGTCGCCGCTGCAATTGTCCCCGAAGCATCATTTCGGAGGGAAAAATATTCTAGGTTGAGATGAACAGACGATGTCGATGGTGCATTGGTGGGCGTCAAAGTGGTCACCGTCTCCAAGTCGTCTCTAAATAAACAAAAAAATAGTTGATTAAAATAAAAATCGAACCTTCCGAATAGGACCCTCCACTTCGTGATCGCTGAGGAGATCTCCCGATTGATCCAAACGACCGCTCATTTACAAAACAAAACACAAACAACCTAGCCTTAGACTCTTATTAGATTCAGTATCCAAACGACAGAAACGTTATAAAAGAGTCAGTCAAAAAGTACTTATTGTCACATAAAAGATTAATCAACGGGCAAACATAAAGAAATAACAGCAAGGAAAAGTTGTGCATGTGCTAGTCTCAATCATTAAAACTTCACCATTTCGGCTTGTGTCAATCAAATAAGTACGCTCGGTTTTCCGGTCCTAGACGTAAATTGATTTAAAAATGTAGATGCCACATACCCTTTCAATCCTGAATTGCTGTCGACTAATCAGAAAGCTCATGTCTCCACCAACGGCGATCAAACGCGCAAAATCATAATACTGATTTCCATTATCTAGAATTTTGTTAACGAAAGCGACAGAAAGAGTCACCATTGTTTCTTGTTCTCCCAAATGAAATAACAGGAGCAAATAACTCTAAATCAATAAAAATTATATTTTGAACAATGCCAACCGATTGGGTCGACTCTTTGGTCCAAAGGCTGAAGACGTGCAAACACTGGTGATTCGATGCTGCTCGATTCGGCGATGCTGATCGAGTCGCACAACTCGATGGTTCCGTTGTCGCTGAGAATCGTGGCAGGTCCTTTCTTCTAAATTTAAATTTTAACGAGGTTCAGAAACAGAAAGTACAAGTATTTACCTTAAAGTGTAGCTCTTTTCCTTGGACGACTCGCTTCTTCTCGACCTTTGTCCCATTGACTCGGTTCATTATCGAGATTTACCCTAAAGTTATCCATATTTTCCATTAGCTGGCAACACAGTTACTAAAGACTTAGAAACGATGCAGCAAAATACCTAGAAACTTTAGATAACACCTACAGTCATGGACAAAAGTCTTGGAAATTTAACAGAGTGACACGGACATTTTAAATAGCTATCTGCCCGTGTCAACCGACTCTAAATATGAGTAACATTATTTTTCATTAAGTGAAAAGCCATTGTTACTAGCTTACGTGCCCTACCCCTAGTTGGAGCCCTACCCTAGTTGGAGTAGGGCACGATTCTTTCTTCAAAACCATTTTTGCAGGGGTATTTTTATGCGTAGATTCCGAAAAACACAACAAAAGCTTGGGGAAAGAAGTTTTAAGCCGAGTTTCGAGGCTCCAAAGTGCGCGCTTCTATAGTGTACTTCACTATATGGAGCTCAAGCTATCGACTATTGGAGCACTTTTCAAAGTCAAAACTAGGACCAAAGCCATTTTTAACCACTAAATACTCATTTTCTAAATGAAATTGACTGGTAGAGGCAAAACATTGAAAAAATATTTTTTGAGATTTCGACTCATTTGGTCTTTTTAACCAGATAATCGAAACTCGGAAAAAAGTATTTTTATTTTGCTCCAATTTGATCGGAAAAGTAATCAGTAGGTTAAATTATGCCAGAAAAAGTGTTTTTGGCTTCAAAAAATGTTTTGAGAGACCAATTTTAGACCTCCATATTGAAAGAAAAAAAAAGCTAACATTTTTCCACAAAAATTAAAAAAATGTTGTTTTTCTCAAGTGCGCTACTTAATATGAAACAGTCGGGAGTGGGACAAATGCGACCTTTTTCTTGCGCACCCGGACATTTGCGCACCTTTTTTTCCGCACTTAGCCCATTAGCGCACCTTTTTTCGCGTTTTAAAAAAGCTCTAAAAGCTAATATTAAACCAATTTCTATTCCAAAAGTTGTTTTTCTAGGTAATTTTAGGGCGTAGAATCGAAATTTTGGCATAATAGAGCGTGTGGAACCAATTTGAAAGACAAAACGGCTAGGTCAAATTACAGAAAATTGTTGATTTTTCTCTTTGTATAACTCCGTCCGTTCGCTTCCACAAGCTCTGATATGCCAAAATTTCGATTCTACGCCCTAAAATTACCTGGAAAAACAACTTTTGGAATAGAAATTGGTTAATATTAGCTTTTAGAGCTTTTTTTAAAACGCGAAAAAAGGTGCGCTAATGGGCTAAGTGCGGAAAAAAAGGTGCGCAAATGTCCGGGTGCGCAAAAAAAGGCCGCATTTGTCCCACTCCCGCCTAATTATTAAAAAAAATCATTTTTGAAAAGTAGAATAATCTAAAAAAAGTCTTTTTTTAGGGTTTTTCATTGTCCTCTTTCTTTTTGTAATTGACACCAACATTGGTTTCTTTGACATTTTTCGAGATACGACCATTTTGGGGGGTGCGCTACTTAATGTGAAACGCACTGTATATCCACCAAATAGCGGAAAGATAAAGAACGGAGCGGCAGAAAAGCCAATAAAGTTATCACAGATTGCGGCCGCTATCTGAGCTGGGTCCGTTTTCATCAACAAATCTCACAATCAATGAAACAAAAGAAAAGCAAGCCTAGCTCAAGGCATCAAAACGAGCTTTCTACCTGTAAACTGATTAATCCACTCGAGTATTCTCTCATTTCAACCGGTGAATATCGAATTATTGCATATAGGCCGAATAGGTTAATTAGAGTGCCGAGAACTGAAATCAACTTGATTTAGATATTTTATATAGAAGAGCTTGTTTTGTAGTTTTCCACTTCCTACATGCTTGATGGGTTTGTGTTTTAAGAAGCTCTACCCGAAGTGATTTGTATCACAGGAAACTAATCATCACCAACATGTACATCGAGTTCATTTATCAACATGCATAGAGAGTTTGTTTATCGTGGTTCTATGAAAAAAAGATCAATTAGTAAACAAAGTTTCGAACAAAGAGAGATGTTTCGAATAAAGACTATAACATTTTACGAACAGGTGATTTCTTTTCGATTCAAAGTTCCGGGTCTTGGGTCTAAATTTGGTTCCTTATCTCTCTAAATTTGGTTCCTAATCTTTGCAAATTTAGATATCTTTTGTGAATCGAAAACATAGAGAAAATTTCCCTCAAAGTCAGACTACCTACCTGAAAGGGTCAATCCACTTAAATGGGGTATAACTTAAGATGTAAAAGCTGAATCAACTCACGCTTACTTTATTAGATTTCACTAAATAAATATAGAATCTGTTTTGTAAACTTATCAATAAAAACATAGAGAAACTAAGTGTTTAACTTGAGATAACTGTCTGACCCTCTTCAGAGCTCGACAGTTGTCTCAACTTTGACACTAATTTTCTCTGTGTTTTTATCGGTAAGTCTACAAAACAGATTCCATATTTCTTTACTAAAATTCAATATAGATTCTAATAAAAGAAACCAGGAGTTGTTTGGGTTTCTATACCTGGAATTATGGACCATTTAACTGGATCGACTCTTTCAAGTAGACTCTTCCAAGTCCAACTTTGGCCGAAATTTTCTCAATGTTTTTATATTGAAATGTGGTGAGTAAGTTGTGGTTTTCTATAACAAAATTTCATAAGGAACATTTTAAGACCAACCACAAGTTGATTGGATTTCTATTTTATTTCTTTTCGCTTCAAAGTTCCGGGTCTTGCGCCTATTTAGATATCTTTTGTGAATCGAAAATTTTTCAATGTGTTATGTCTACATGAATGTAATCATGTCACACTTTCATAGAGTCTAGTTAAGTGGCGTTGTTGCAAGTGTAAGAAGTGAATATAGCTTATTTGACAGCGTGAAATAAAATGAAATAACAAAAATAAAAGAAATTATTTCTTTCCAAAGATTATAACATTTCACGGGCACGCAATTTTTGTGTAGCCAGTCGATCACGTTTAGAGTGTGTTCCTTGCAGACAACGGCAAACACAGGGCAGAGTTGGAATACCCTTGTTTAGAATAATTAAATAAAACTGCCGTAGACACTATCGTAGTCAAATAAAACTACAGTGCGTTTCAAATTCTTAAACGCACCCTCTAAAACCGCGAATTTTGCATTTTGACCACCGCTACAACTATTAATCTTTTTCTATTAGAAAAAGCATGTTTTAAAACCTAAATAACACGAAAAAGAAGCATACTGTGAAAAGTAAAAATTTTCAAAATAGAAACTTTTTGCTAAATCAACCGTTTCAAATTCTTAAACGCACTATGAAAATATTTTTATTTATCGAGACAAATTAAAAATCAAAGGTTAAAAATCGAAACTAATAATCTGTACACGCACGATAACGATTAATTACTTGAAAAATGCGGCCTGGCATTGAATTGATGAAGTTTTGAAGAGCAGAGAAGTCGAGATCGCTCCAGGCCGAAAAAATTGCTGGTTTAAGTGTAGAAACGTCTTGAAACTGACGATGATTCTTGTAGACAGCTCGGACAAGTATTCCCCATAAATTTTCTATCGGATTGAAATCAGGAGACTGAGCGGGCCAGTCCAAAGTTGCAATGTTGTTGCTGTTCAGCCAGTCTCGGGTGTCTCTGGCTCGATGAATTGACGCGTTGTCGTGTTGAAACACATAGGGAATGTTTGGATTTAGGAGCAAAAATGGCAACAAGCAATTGTTCAAGATATCTATCTAGTCATCCGATTCGAAACCATCTTCAGAGCGACCGTTCCATCAGCACAAAAGGCGGCCCAAACCATCACAGAACCACCGTCAAAGTTTCGAGTTCCAAACACCATCGGATCACGTCAAAGATCCCTCAAATAGTAGTCAACGCCATTGGGACCATCCCAATTCCATTTCTTCTCATCGGAAAAGATCACCTAAACGCAAAAAAAAAAATAATAAAACATAAGCGGCTTTCTAACCATAGACCAATCCTGATTCATATGAGCCTTGGCGAACTCCAATCGAGTTTTCTTGTGCAAAAGCTTCACGACCGGTTGCGTGTTCAATAATTGTCGATCGATATGTGGATTTTCCGTGACGGCTCGCCAAATTGTCGACTTCGAAGCGTCGATTTTCAGTTCCGTTTTCACTTCATTGATCGTTTTTCCGTGGATTTTGTTCACAATATGGTGTCTAGCTCGCGGTGTAAGCTTTGGTTTTGGTCCTGGCTTCTTCTTTGGTGCAGAAACGAACTCGGACTTTCTATAATTTCGCACGGCAGAGTCGGATCGGCCCAAATTTTTTGCGATTTTCCTTATTGAGTCGCCAACCCTCAAACGAGCATCAATCTGGCCTTTATCATAATCCGTGAGCAGCTTTCCGTGTGCCATTTACCTGGAAATTAACAAAAATTATAAATTTAATAAAAAAAATATGCACAACAAAACGAAAAATTTCAGACAACAACAGCAAAGGCGGGTGCGTCTAAGAATTTGAAACGGTTGATTTAGCAAAAAGTTTCTATTTTGAAAATTTTTACTTTTTACAGTATGCTTCTTTTTCGTATTATTTAGGTTTTAAGACATGCTCTTTCTAATAGAAAAAGATTAATAGTTGTAGCGGTGGTCAAAATGCAAAATTCGCAGTTTTAGAGGGTGCGTTTAAGAATTTGAACCGCACTGTATTAGGTTGGCAACTTAATAATGACGCGTCACTACTTAACATGTTTTTTGTAATTTCAAGCACCGTTTCTTCCCTCTTTTTTTGCACATATACAAAGTAAAAGATGTCTGCATAAATAGCATTTAGTGCTGCAAATTTCATCACTCGCTTTTTGGCAAAAAATGGAGGACAAAAAATTCCGTATTCGAGCTGTATTGTTCTACGATTTTAAACAAGGAAAATCTCCAGCTGAATCTCATCGCACGATCATCACTGTTTTGGAGAGGAAAGTATACACATTCGGCAATGTCAACGATGGTTTCAAAGATTCCAAGGCGGCGATGAAAGCCTCGTAGACGAGCCACACCAAGGACATCCTCCAGAAGTGGTCGACGATGACTTGCTCGCCTTAATTGAAGATTGCCCAACACTCACCGTTCGTGAGTTGGCAGAAATATTTTAAGTATCCCATACGACAATCGAAAACTATTTACACACTTGGGAAAAAGAATCGTGTTGGAAAATGAGTTCCTCACGAATTGACCCAAAGCAATCGAACGACTTTTTCACAGGGTTTTGACTTCTGACGAAACGTGGATCAACTACGAGAACGTTAAACGCAAAAATCAATGGCTATCTGCTGGGCAGACCCCTCAAACCACTCCCAAACCTGATATCCATGGGAAGAAGATAATGCTCTGTTGCTGGTGAAACTTCAAGGGATTGGTGCATTATGAAGTGCTGAAACCTGGCCAAACCGTCGATGCTGATCTTTATTCGAAGCAATTAATGAGAGTTAACGAGTCTTTGAAGAAATTGGGGCTCAAACCGGAGAGGGTCAGATTTTTACGCGACAACCCAAAATCTCACACTGCAAAGATCACTTATAAGAAAATCGTGGAACTTGGCTGGAAAGTTTTGCCCCACGCGTCTTATTCACCTGATCTGGCTCCTTCAGATTACTTTTTGTTTCGGTCGCTGAAGCACTTTTTGAAGGAAGAAAAGTTCGATGATCATAAAAGCAGTGAATGACTACTTCACCTCAAAAACTCCCAAGTTCTTCGAGGATGAGATCCGGGATTTGCGCAGAAGATGGGAAGAAGTCATAGATACTAATGGAGAATACCTTTTGAATTGAAAGCTCTTCTTTTGTGTTTTTTTTAAAATAAATGATTTGTCTGACAACACACTTTATTGTTTCTTTTTCCCTCAACATTCGTTTTTTTTCCATCAACAAATAGTAATCGCATGAAATGTTGAATGAATTGAGGAGAAATTTTCGAGGTGTAGCCCGCAACAAATTGATAATCTTTACCAAAAAAAAAACAAAAGTAGAAGCACGAAAATGAAATGAAACGAATTTAAATCAATCAGTAAAGGATTTAAATCAATCAATAAACGATTCGATATATGCATGTGGTGGACGCGTGGCTGAGAAGTTGCGGGATCGTATTTCAAGATTTCAAGCACAAATATGTATATATCAAATGAACCAAAGTAAACCCAGAAAAGCAGCAAATCTACAAGTTGAGTCTTTTCCTTTAAGTAATCCATTTTCTAAAAGGCATTTCTAAAAGGCATTTATCATCAAAAAAATCTATTGTAATCCCATTCTTTAACTCTCTCTTCAAAGTCCTTTGCAACTTTGCAGTCCCTCACGGTACTTGTTTGCTATCGGCCTCGTATTTAGCCTTAGATGAAGCCATATTTAGCCTTAGATGAAGTTTACCACCCGCTTAAGGCTGCGTTCTCAGGCAAGCCGACTCCAAGGAACGACCGATCGACTCCGTCACCACTCGTACAGGACTTGCACCTTCTCTGATCTATGGCCCCAGTCAAAGGGACTTTGAGTAAGTGATGGCGCCGGATAGCCGCACCTATACGCTACATTTCCCCGCGACTAAAAGCCGAGGGATTCAGCGCTGGACTTTTCCCCGTTCACTCGCCGTTACTAGGGGAATCTTTGTTAATTTCTTTAGAATCCGATCGGATCTTTAATCCGACCGATTAATCTACACTAATCCTTGTATCTTATTGTTTTATCTACCGTAATCCAGTTACAATAACCCGCCTTATTATAGTAGATTCGATAGAAAGAAAGAACTATGATGCCTTAAGATGCCTTTTAATGCCTTTTAATACCTTTTAATACCTTTTAATGCCTTTTAGAAAAAGAATTACCTAGACAAAAAAAGAAAAAGAAAATAATATAAAGCAAATAAAGCAAATATACTCGGTACCGTAATCGGGTATTGTAAGGGAATTCACAGCGGGTAAATCAAAAAAAGAAAAAGATAAAAATTAATATGAAAAGAAAAGAAAAGAGAAACCCGCCCAAAGTTACACCATTTTTTTTTGCGAGAAAGAGAAATACTAGTTTTTAGAAATACTAGCTTTTAGAAATCCTAGCTTTTACAAAAGAATAAATGCAAATTTCAGCCACAGTTCCGGTGGTGAACTTGATTAAATGATCAGCTTTTCAAAAAGAAAAAATAAAGCTTATGTACAGCGATGCAAACGGCAGATTGATATACGTATTTTTACTGGAGTACCTGGGTTATCAATGGGTTTTTTTGGCTATCAGCTAAGTATCTCATTTCTAGGTAGAGCGGGATGAATCACATAAATCGTGAGGGAGTTTGTGATATTGGGGTTACGGTAGATGAGTTCATAGTGGATAATGGGTACAGTAATCCTTTAGAAATTGATAGGGAAAGCTATAGTACCCTTTACAGTACCGTAACCCTTTACAGGAAAGGGTTACGGTACTTTCTCAATCCAGGGTTACGGTATTTGACCAAGAGGTATTTGACCAAGACCAGGAACCCTTTAGAAACCCATTGGGAAGGCTACAGTACCCCTTTCCTGATTGAGAAAGCTACAGTAGGCTACAATAAGCTACAGTAGGCTACAGTAGGCTACAGTAGGCTACACTAAGCTACAGTAGGCTACAGTAGGCTACACTAAGCTACAGTAGGCTACAGTAGGCTACAGTACCCTTTCCTTTAAAGGATTAAGGCACTTGCTTAGCTTAGGGTTACTGTACCAAGAGGTACGGTAATCCTTTCCGCTTCAAATCCCTATTAGCTACAGTAACTGAATAGCTAGCTTAAACTACAGTGATTCGTTGGTGTTGCTTAGAAATCAAGCTACAGTACCCCTTCTCTATAATCTACACTACTTACTGTACTTTTTGTCCACTTTATCGAACTCATCAAGTGATGCTTATCTCGAAATAGATTTCAATGCAAAATAGAAAACATTTACAAGTAATAGTTTTCAGCGCTTTTTAAACAAAAAAAAGAAATGCTTTCTATTTAGCACTAAACCTAAAGTAAAGCAAGTAAAATTAAACGACAAAAGACAGAAATAAAAAAGAAAAAAGTCAAAATGTCGAAAAAAGATACCGTAATCGTGTGAACACCGGGAAAATTAGTGAAAAAAAGCAAAAAAAAACGGAAACAAAGAGGAAACAGAAATTTCTCAGGCACTGGACATTTAAATACAATTTTTCTTTTTGCACTTTACATACGAGAATTCGTGAAAATGGCTACACATTGAGATAAATATCTCAACGATTTTTGCGTTAATTTGCTCGTGAAATGGCTACACATTGAGACTAAAAGAAAAGCAAAAGAAATAAATATTTTTGAAATTTTCATTCAAATTTTAATTCAAATTTTAATTCAAATTAAATTTCTCTCACCACATCCAGGTGGTTTTAAAGAAAAGAAAAAAATGGGGAAAACTAGCAAAAATCACTAGGAAATCAAATGAAAATTGGGGAATTCAAATCACCGGAATCCATTGACTCGAATCTTTCGGCAAGTAGAGAAGTGTCTGGAAATTAAAGGTTTCAATGTGAATTTTAAATAGATTCATTTAGATGGATGAGAGCTTTCGAATAGAAGATATTATCTACAGATTACTGTAGCTTTATAATATAGAAATATTCGATAGATTACTGTAGTTATTTGCTGAAAAATTTGTGCTCACTTGGTGTACTTTGTGCTCACTGGTAAACGCGCACTTTATAGTGCACGGAGTTCTTCATTTTTCTCGCGACACCATGCTTCTGCGAGAAAAATGAAGAATCCAGGGCACTAGAAAGGGTGCGTTTACCGGTGAGCACAAAGTTGACCCAGAAGTTAAGCTTTCCGTGCACCACATGCTATGCGTTTACCGGTGAGCACAAAGTTCACCTAGAAGTTAAGCTTTCCGTGCACCAGATGCTATGCGTTTACCGGTGAGCACAAAGTTCGCCTAGAAGTTAAGCTTTCCGTGCACCAGATGCTATGCGTTTCCACGAAAGAAAGTCATATCTAGTGTCAAATCAGTAAATGATTATCTAATTTTTAATTTTTATTTATTTTTCACCTGTTTCTGCGGTCCGCCAGTCAAATCATGTGAGTTTCGCGTGTGATACAAATTCATCGAAATCTGATAGGCCAAACGATCAACCTGGAATTTTTTTGATTGAACTAATGATTGAACTAATGAATGAACTAACTACGATCTGTACTAATGACGATTATTTTTAGCGTTATTAACTCAAGTCTTTAAGGAATTTCGTTATTTCGCATACTAGATTTCAAGAGGAGATTCAGAGCTATCAAAGAGACTATTCTACACCAAATTATCAGTAAAATTGCTAACAACTACGCGACTTTACGCTCTAATACTGTCATAAATATCCCAAAAAAACCCACCATTAACAGTGTCTGCCGTCGCTCGTGATTCATCAAACAAACCGTACTTTCGGAGATGACACGGTAAAGCAGCAAGAGAAAATCGTATTTCGACTAAAGTTTTAGATATAGAATAGATATATCTAGATATATTAGATATTTAGATCTTTTAAATACCGATTACAGTACTTGTTGCACGGAGAGAAGCGACGGATGGCTGCTGGCTTGACTTGTCGACGCCTCCGAGTCAGTGTCCTCGCCGCAACTCGTCGACAACTGAATATGAATTGATAGCTTGACTTTTGACCTTGACAATAGCCTGGATCTGAGGCTATTGTAGCCTGAATACTTACCGTATCGTAATTGCTGCCGAAATGGTTGTCGAGGTAGTTCCTCAGCTTTGATTCCTGCAAGCTGATATCGGGGAAATCGATGAAGAAACGCGAGCACATATATCTGCAAAAGTTAAATGTTAATTGAGTGATTTTGTCTGTCTACAGTACACCTCTGTCTGTCTTACAGCAATTTCTGTCTGTCTGTCTGTCTTTTGTCTGTCTTTCTGTCTTGTCTCTCCGTTCTGCTGTTTTAGAATTTGTGCCAAATTGTTGCTGGGATATCTACCGTAATCGTCCGTCTGTCTGTCTGTCTTACAGTAATTTCTGTCTGTCTGTCTGTCTGTCTGGCTGCCTGTCTGTCTGTCTTTAATCTTACAGTAACCCCGTATTTCAGTCGGGCAAAACTTTCATTTTTTAGGCAATTTTCGATGAATACGGGTTACTTTACTTGTCTATTATCTTAATATTTTATCCAGAATTTGCAATTCTTAAATCAATTCCCCAACCTCTCCAATTGTCGGCACTTCGTCGGACGGGCGGCCTTGTAGCCGCGAGTGAGCAGATGGCAATATTTAAGCAATCCTCCGCCGCGGATCTCTTCCGGCCGTCTTGTGTCGATCAGTCGTTGATCGAGATGCTCCAATGCCATTCGGATATCGCCGAAAACCGATTCGATCAGAACCTGCAATGATTCGATTGAAAGTTTGCTATCTGTCTTGTTGGATAATTGAACTGACCGGTCCTATGTCTACAGTACACCTCTGTCTGTCTGTCTGTCTGTCTGTCTGTCTGTCTGTCTGTCGGCCTGTCTTACAGTAATTTCTGTCTGTCTTTTCCGTGCGCCAGACGGCCAACGATTCGACCTTTATGGTGTACGTTGTGCTTACTGTTAAACGCATCCTTTCTGCTGCACTGAGTTCTTCGTTTTTCTCGTAACAACGAGAAAAATGAAGATTTCAATGCACCAGAAAGGTTGTGTTTACAAATTTCAAAGTACACAAGCAATTTGTTTAGCAAACCTTGATTTCTGGGCATTCAAAATTGTCCAAAAGTGGATCGAGGGTAATCTGGAAAGAATCGACGGAGAATTCGAATTGTCTCCTCATTTTGTCCACGAATTTCAACTCGATACACCGTCCGAAATGATTGTGAAGAGAAAAAAGAGACCAGCGATCCGATTCATCAACCTTAACGACAATTTTAACATCTTCAAGACGACACAATACCAATGACGATTAGTTTTTGGTGTCAACTTGACTTTTAAAGACTTTTTAAAGACTTTTTTAGACTTTTTAAAGACTGTTTAGACTTTTATTTATTTTTTAAAGCTTCTTGATAAGGCTAAGAGCTAAGATATTTAAGATATTTCTTAAGCTAAAGCTTACTTTAACCATTTTCCTGATATAGATATCTTTTAGGGTATCAACTGTGATCCTTGTCTTGTCCGTTTCTTCGGGCATCAACTCGACGAGAGCTGTGAAAACGGCTGTTCGAACCTGGAAATCCTTCATGGTTACAGATTTCTCTATCGTTTTCGAAAAGACACTTAAACTATCGTAATCAGTTTAGACAGTTTTCTGGGCGAATTTTTGCAATGACTCCAGCCTTGTGATATCATTGAGCCGATGAGATTATAATAATTTTCGTTGACTTTTAGAAAACAAACTATTCAAGACACTTCAAGACACTTCGAGTTCTATTTTACGCCAGCAATTTTACAGAAAGCCAGCGATGTCTACAATACACTTAAAGTACAGCTCTAGTGTCTACAGCACTTTATGCTAAGTCTAGCCAAGCTACTTGATGCTTACCATTTTCCAGTGATGCTTATAATGGTCTATAGTACTATAGCAGGCCAAAGAAAGTGCTCATAAATCTCGTCCTTTTACTTACAATCATCTAATTTTATCAAGCTCATTATCTAATTTTATCTAGAATATCTAGAAATCTAGAATTCGAATTGAAACTCTTTCACTCACCAAATCGAAAGTTTGTTCTCTCTCGAAAGAGATCGGGAAGATCAGATCCAAATCGGCGTAGGAAAACTCGTCAGCCGCCACAACGTATGACGCGGCTCCACCATTCATTTTCACTTGTCTCGGTCCGACACCGTAGGCTCTGCAGAAAATTAGTGTTTAACTATGATATGATAAATAAAATTTAATCAATCTTTAGTCTTTAGATGAATATTGTAAATGTAAATGGTTAATTTACAGTAAAAAAATTGGTTAGTTTACAGTAAATCAACTAAACTAACCAAAAAAAATCACCTTTTTCTATCAACAGTACGCTGGTTTAAATTCTAATTTGGTCTTTTCATTTTTAAGATTATTTGCATTTGTAAAGTTGCGCGACTTTTTCCGGAAATAACCCAAATTACCTAAAGTGACGACTGTAGCTGTGCCAATTTCTAATTTCCCTAAAAATTTACAAAAAATTCCCCCAATAATCCGCGCCCGGAAATGATCGATATCCCGAAAGATTTGAAAATAAACTCAAATTTCTAAAGTTTTCTATAGATTTTTGTGGGAAATTTGGAGAAAAAAAAAGAGGAAAAGAAAAAGGCTAAACGATCAAATTGCGCTTTTTCTTTTCTTTAAGCTCTTAAAGCTGACGCAGTTCCGGGATGTTTTTTTAGATGAAAATTTAGAGTAAAGCATCAAAACTGGTCAGATTTTTGGAATGCTTACGTTTTTTGATATGAAATATGTAATTTTTTTTTTGGAAATGAATGAGCTGGCTGGTATTTTGTGGGGAAGGAGAGGAGGAAGAGCTTTCAAGGAGAGGAGGGAGAGCTTTCAAGGAGAGGAGGGAGAGCTTTCAAGGAGAGGAGGAAGAGCTTTCAAGGAGAGAGGAAGAGCTTTCAAGGAGAAGAGGAAGAGCTTTCAAGGAGAGGAGGGAGAGCTTTCAAGGAGAGGAGGAAGAGCTTTCAAGGAGAGTAGGAAGAGCTTTCAAGGAGAGTAGGAAGAGCTTTCAAGGAGAGGAGGGAGAGCTTTCAAGGAGAGGAGGAAGAGCTTTCAAGGAGAGTAGGAAGAGCTTTCAAGGAGAGTAGGAAGAGCTTTCAAGGAGAGGAGGGAGAGCTTTCAAGGAGAGGAGGAAGAGCTTTCAAGGAGAGTAGGAAGAGCTTTCAAGGAGAGGAGGGAGAGCTTTCAAGGAGAGGAGGAAGAGCTTTCAAGGAGAGGAGGAAGAGTTTTCAAGGAGAGGAGGGAGAGCTTTCAAGGAGAGGAGGGAGAGCTATCAAATGCTAATTTTCAAGACTAATTCAATTTTAGCAGAACTAATCTATGTTTTTAAGTATTTTAAGTAGTTAAGTTAAGATTTTTAAGTTTATAAATGTAAAGAATTTTAGATTTAAACCCTTTTTGAATCCTTGATTCCCTAGAAATCTCTGAAAAAGGGAATTTTATGATTTTGGTTTAAAAACCGATTTTTTCGACCGATTCGATTTTTTTGAATAATGTAAAAATTCTTTAGAAATATAGCTTTAGAAAACTAATTTTTAAATGGTAATAAGAAATTAGCATTTAATTTATAGCAATTTATAGCATTTATAGCAATCAGATAAAGTCTAAACAATGGTCTCAAGTCTTAGCCAAGTCCAGGTTTGGTTTTGAGTCTTAGCCAAGTCGAGGTTTGGTAAATTTTTGAGCTAGTTACTGTAATTAGGCTAGGTTGAAGTCAAGTAATTAAATAATATTATAAGAAATACTATCAGAAATACTTCTACTATTAGAAAAAAACATTTTACCTGAGTTTTTCACGAACACAAACGATAAGATCGATGAGTCGAATGGAGATTGTGGGGAAATTCCCTCGTCCATGAATGTCCACTCGTTCGGAGAGCACTGAACGCAAACGTTCCACCTGAAATCAATGAAATACTCTATTCTCTTTCAATAAAATAAAATTCCTATAGCTTCCTAGTTTCCTATAGCTTCCTATAGCTTCCCATAGTTTCTGTAATACTTTTAGTGTTTTATTTTAATGCTTTAGATCTTTCCCTGTTCTCTAAAAATTCCCTAAATTTTGATTGAAGTTTTAAAGCTTTCCTCTCATTTTTTTTTCTAATCTTTATCATTCTTTTTAATCTATTTGAATTTTTCTTTTTTTTAAAGTGAAATTTGAGTGAAGGGTTTATCTAGAATCTCTAGAAAGCGTACTGTCAATCAAAGAAATTTTAGAAATCTATAAAATCTCAAAATCTCCAAAAAAAGCTTTCTGAAAAAAAGCCTTCTGAAAAAGCCCTTTGAAAAAAATGTTTGCATATAGAAAATCTAGTTTCTAACTGTTTGCATATAGAAAATCTAGTTTCTAACTAATATATTAGCCCTTTGTTTATAGACTTTTTCAAATTTAAACCGCGGTCAGGGCCCAGAAGTGGCTCATTCCTTTTGCAAATTCCCTTTGCTTCCAATGCCTCTTTATCAAATTCATTTCCCGTTAGAGCCGCTAGATTATGGAACTTGCTCCCAAACGACATACGAGAAATTCAGTCGCTTTTCATATTCAAGAAACGTATCGATGCTTTAGATCTAGTGGCTCTTTGCCGTAAGTAATTGGCTTATTGATTTCAGTATGTATTGTATGATTAAGTATCACTGTGCATTTCTCTATCATTTCTTTCACTTTATCGTTTGAATAAAGTATTATTATATTAGTTAGAAAGTTAGTTCTAACGAATTTTTAGTAACAATTTCCCCCAGCATTTCCCAGCTCCCAGCTAGATTACTTCTCATCTTGCCCGTAAACAGAAGCAATTGGGAAATGAATCTCAAACGAAAGCGAGCCGAGTTCCATATTTGTTTTTCATTCTCAATATATCGAAATCTCTTTTTCGAATCTCGACTACTTTTAGGCTCAAAATAGACTCAAATTTAGCCTTAGTACTATTTTGTGAATTTTTTTCTTTCAAAAGAACTTGCATCGAATTTCCGCAAGAAAAAACTATGATTTAAAGATATTTTGAAAAATGAAAGCTGAAGAATTTTAGATTCGTGGGAGTTTTTGCGGAAAAGGAAAGTTTGAGCTCGTTTTTTGAGCTGTTTGAGTTATCTTTAGCTGTTTTTTTTTGGATTTAGTTAAGCTTTCCAGATATCAAATAACATAAAACATAAATTTTATAGTATATTCTCTTTTAGGCAAAAAAATGGGCTCGTTTTCAGTTAGCTATTCTGTTGGACTTTTGTTAACAGATCAGTTCAGGACTTTGGTTGGGTTGGTAAGCCATTTTTAGATTTGATTTGAGTCTAAAGATGGCTTAAGATTGCTTTAGATTGCTTTAGATAGCTTAAGATGGCTTTAGATAGCTTAAGATAGCTTTAGATAGCTTTAGATGGCTTTAGATAAATAGAAATCAAAATTCTCCGCTCACCTGTCGATCCGACAAATGAGCTGTGCTGCTGGCAGTGCTTGCGCAATTCTCACCCTTCATCCTAGCTGTACCGTTTCCGGGATTCGTCGTTGTCAGCTGAAATTTAGAAATAATAATAACAATAACAAGCATATTTATAATATAGATAATAGATAAAACGTAGATAATATCCGACCGACGTTAAGCTATATAACGGCACTCTACATAGCGGAAAAGTATTTAATGGAATGAAATTGGGTCCTGACCGACACTAAGCTATATAACGGAAGCTCTACATAGCGGAAAAGTATTTAATGGAATGAAATTGGGTCCTGACCGACGCTAAGCTATATAACGGCACTCTACATAGCGGAAAAGTATTTAATGGAATGAAATTGGGTCCTGACCGACACTAAGCTATATAACGGAAGCTCTATATAACGGAAAGCTCTATATAACAGAAGAATTCTTTGGTTTCTTTCATTCCGTTATAATCGACTGCACATAGAGATAAATAAGATCTATAAAATATAATCAAAAGTATAATCAAAAACATAATCAAAAATATAATCAGAGTTAAATCTTAGATCAAATTTTGATTAAAAAAACGAAAAATTAAAGCTCTAGTCGAATTTTTGATTGAAAAAACTGAAGTTAAAGCTTTTTTTTTAGAAGAAAAGGATCTCTTTATGTAAAAGATATTCAGCTAATTGAAGAAATAATAAAATTTGAATATTAGATTAAAGTTACCATTGAAATTAGATGAAAAAACGAAAATGAAAGGAAATTTTCTCATTTTTCTGAATTGATCTGATAAGAAAAGAAAGATTTTCGAAAAAGAAACAAAAATTCGAAAAAAAATTTAATAATTTTTTGATAATCTTTTTAAAATCTAAAATATTTCATAGTTTTAATAGATATTTAAACAATTTTTTAAAGAAATAGACAAAGAAAAGAATTGGAAATCGATGCTGAAATGTTCTTTCAGGAATTTTAAGTATCTTTCGTTTTGTGTTATGAAATTCTAGGGGGGAAATGATAGAAATAGAATCAAAATCTATATGTAGGTATAGATATAGGTTTAGATATTGGTTTTGATATAGATATAGATATAGGTTAGATATAGGTTTAAATATAGGTTTAAATATAGGTTTAGATATTGGTTTAGATATAGGTTTAGATATAGGTTTTGATATAGATATAGATATAGATTAAGATATAGATATAGATATAGATTAAGATATAGGTATAGATATAGGTTTAGATATAGGTTTTGATATAGATATAGATATAGATTTTCATTGATTTTTTTTCATTTTTTGAGCTTATTTTAAAGCTATGATGGCTGCTTTTTTGACTGAAAGTTTTTAAAGCTTCTCGTTTACTTTATAATGAAGTTTTATAAATAGAGTTTATTAAATAGAGTTTTATTAAATAGAGCTTCTTAAATAGAGTTTACTAAATAGAGTTTTATTAAATAGAGTTTTATTAAATAGCATATTTATCTAGATATCTTGAAATCAAAAATTCCCGAACTCAAAGTTCTAATCACTTTCCCCTCAAATGATGACCTCAAAAAGTGCTCTAGAAAAAGCCGAAAACCCTAGAGACAAGTGAAATCAAGATATTTAATTATCAAGTTATTTTTAAATAATTGAAAAGTTTATCTGTGCAAAAGCTGAGCTTTTATTTGGGTGAAAGGGAAAAACTGAGAGTCTTATGAGAGCTGCAGATCGAGGGAAAAAACAAAAAAGGATGAAAGGCCATGTTTGGACAGCCCGACGTGAAAGGCATCAGAATGGGGGAAAGGAAAGGAAAAAGAAAAGGAAAAGAAAGGAAAAAGGGAAAAGGTTTAGATGTAGAATGGATATAGAATTGGGATCTGAGGGGGTGGAGTGGAGTGGGAGTAGCCTAGGGATGTGAGCAAGGCTTGAACAAGGCGCACGTTTGACCACTCACATCATCCATCCCTTTCCATTCAAAGCAATATAGTTTGCAAAAAGCCTACAGAAGAGTTGTACTATTTATTTGCAAGCTTTACAAGAAGCTTAATAAGAAGCTGATAGGTTAAAGCAAATCTTGGATTGAAGGAAGGATACAGATTTAGATCAGATCAGATTTGAGTTGAATAATAAGCTGGCTTGGATAAGCTGGCTTGGATAAGCTGGCTTAGAGAAGCTGGCTTGGATAAACTGGCTTAGAGAAGCTGGCTTAGAGAAGCTGATTATATAATAGTCTATTATCTAAGCTCAGATCTAAAGATCAAATCTAAATTCAGCTCTAGATTTGAGTCAGTTTCTTTTAAGTTCCAAAATCCAAATCTAATTTCATTTGCAAGATTGTAAAGGTCAAGGAGAGCTAGAAACTCAATCAAAAAAGAAAACGGAAAAGATATTTGAGTTAAAAATAAATAAAGATAACAAAGATTCAAAAAAAAAACAGCCAGTTTTCAAATCCCTCACATCATTGCAATCTAAAATTTGGCTGGAGGCGGGCTTCCTTTATTTTGTTGTCGATTTTCGGGAAAAGAGAAAAAGAGAGAAGTTTCCAGAAATAGACAACAGAATTCCCTTTTCTTTTCATGATATTCGTAATAGAAATGAAGAGATGTGGTTGAGAAGTGTACTTGGTGATTGAGATTGCTTGCTGCTTGATTTGCTTGCTTGCTTGATAGCTTGCTTGCTGCTTGACAGCTTGCTTGCTTGCTGCTTGAGCTTGCTTGCTGCTTGAGCTTGCTTGCTTGACATTTGTAAACACTCTTTAAACAGACAAGTAAACAGCAGACTCAAGTGCGTTTACAAATGATTGAAGCTTCAAGCTCGCATATACTTTGTTGGCCGGCTGAAAATAAACCTTCTGATGCACTGGATTCATCATTTTTCTTGCAATAAGTTTCAAGAAAACATAAAGATTAAGTTTTACAAGAAAATGAACAATTCATTGCACTAGAACTTTCATTGCACAGTTTGTAAACTCTACAGTACAGTATCAAGTTGACAAACTTGATCAGCACATCAAAGTACATTAAAGTACATTAAAGTACAGCACATCAAAGTACATTAAAAAGAAGTTCATGGAAACTCGAAAAGTGAAAATGAATCGATTAATTCTTCTAATGAATAGAGAAATAGAAAAAAAAATAGAAAAAACTGCTTCTAATGAATGCAAATTCAAAGTTAAAGTCAGCAAATCAGTTCATTCATTTTCAAAAGATTCGAAATCAAAAAAAAAATCGAAGTGCAACACGTTTTTCTCTTTGAAATAAGATTTTATTGAGTGTGGACGTTTGAATTTCCCTGATAAGCCACTTTGTTTCAGAAATTTTCATTGAAAAGCGTTTTCTTCGCGATTTCTTTCGAAAATCAAAGATCTTCAGATAAATCTATACAAAAAAATGTTGAAATTTCATAAGATTTGACATCGGAAAAGTGATTTCAAAAGAATTCTCTTCAAAGAAAAGGTTATTTTTCGAGATTTTGCAACAAAATTCACGTGTTCTTTCTCATAAAGCGTCAAAAATTTCGTTTTTCTTTTCTTTTGAATCTCCTACACAAATCCCCGTGTTTTCTCTAATGATCTGAGAAAAAAATTTGGGTTTTTTTTTGCTGACAAGTGGATTTTACGAGTAAACTAGAATTTTCGATAAACTAGATAATTTTTGATAGAAAATCTGTTGCTAGATCTGTTGCTAGATCTGTTCCTAGATCTGTTGCTAGATCTGTTGCTAGATCTATTGCTAGATCTGTTCCTATTGGGTTGGGGAGAATGAGTCGGCGCCGAAAATCAAAAAAATGTCTAAAACTTCTATTCGACTTCGTCAAATAATATGCGTTTGATATCAGTAGAATGGTTAACTAATTCTCTACAAAATGACATTTAAAAGAAAATTCAAACAGCGCCTCCGCTCAAGAAAAAGCCATTTTTTCACAAAAACTACAAACTGTCATCTAGAAAAAACCATTGGTGGGATCTTCCTGCAAATTTGGCAACTTAAGTAATTGAATGTGCTCTATCTTTTTTATATAAACACCAAAGAAGGTTTATGTGGAAGAAACTGTTCAAATGATGAGTCGGACTCTTTGCCATTTTAACCAGCTGCGTTTGGAAGTTCATAAACTCCACGAAAGAAAAGCTTTGTGGAATCTCTCAAAAGTCATTTTGTAGAGAAATAGTGGATCCTTTTGATGAAACCAAACGTATGTTTAAAGAAGGCTTTATGTGTGCAAAAAGTCCCTTTAAAGTTTGGCGCCGACTCATTCTCCCCAACCCAATAGATCTGTTGCTAGATCTGTTGATCTATGCTAGATCTATGCTAGATCTAGATCTGATATTTAAAATCTGTTGCTAGAGCTTATTTAAAAACATTTTTGAAAATAATACCACCCGAGTCCAGTTAAATACGAGGCGAAATAAGTAAATAAACTAGTTAATTCAAATAAAGCTAAATTAGTTAACCATTGGTCTAAAATTGAACCAAGAAAGGTTTTATTGTCAAAAACAGGGAGGTCTCAAAAGGTCGGAATAGCTCAATTGGTTAGCCGTCGGTCGCCCCGGCTTTCCCGATCCCGGTTCGATCCCGCTATCGTCAAATAAATGTTTTTTTTATGAAAAACAGGATAAGATCCATAAACGATCATAAATAGTATAGGCTTTAGAAGTGAAAGGAAAATAGTATAAGATTAAAACTTTACAAGTGAAAGGAATGCAAACTATTGAACTAAAAGGCAAGCTATTGAAACTTTTCGTCAAGTATAGCTTAAAAATGATCAAAATGAGGCTAGACTTGAGACTATTTTGTCCATATAATCTAATATTATGTCAATTCGGGAATTCGCGTGCAAAATATTAGCTTTTCCGGAAGGGGGGGGATGGGGTTGTTATGTAAATTTCGTCTCTCAGCTGGAGTTTTTGTTGAGATCTCCGTCAAACTAGGATAAATAATAAAAGTACAGTCTGAGAGTGATGTGTGCGTGCAAAAATTTGGGATGCTTTTCTTTTTTTCATTCATAAATAGATCAATTGCAATTGAAAATGGAAAGCTTATCGGTGAAAATTTGCATTTAAGCCGGTTTTTAAGCCAAAAAATTCAAATTCCTTTTTAAATTCAAAATTTACAAAAAACAAACCCCTCTCGGCCAGATTTCAGAATCGGAATCCATAAAAAAAATCTATTAGATCTAGTAATCTATTAGAATAATCTGATATTCGTCACAGAAATAGCAAGTGACTCTTAGATGAATGGCAGATGAGAAAAAAAAGGAGGTGGCCCCTATTTTCGAGAGCCTCTTCGTCTCTCGAATTCTCTTCACATCTAATGCTATCTAGTGCCCCACACGGCCCCCAGCTCTCCCTAATTGGGACGCTATTTTGTGTGTGTGTTGCTGGCTGTGGGGCCCACGCTTCTCGACGTCATCTTTCAAAGAGAAAAGGGATATTGAAGAAGCGGCCTTTCTCTTTCCCTCTCCTCAGAGTGATGTCAAGTGACGTCCACTATGTAGGGACCCTCAGCCCTATTTTGTTTAAGGGTCTTCAGGCCTACCTAAAGATTAGCCAAACCTTAACCTTACTATTAGTCATAGCTATGCTCCTGGCTCCAGTCTAGTCAGACTTGCCAGGCCAAGCCAAGCCAAGCCTAGCTAAGCTAAGCCAAGCCAAGCCAAGCCAAGCCCAGCCCAGCCAAGCCAAGCCAAGCCAAGCCAAGCTAAGCCAAGGTTTAAGGCTAAATTCGAAGGTGAAATTCTAAGGCTAGTTGAAATTAATTTGTTTCCTTTGGCTAGCCAAGGTTTTGGCAGTTGGAAAAGTGTTGTTTGGTGTTTTTTGAGCTTTAGTCCCGTGCCTGACTTACCTCTAAAGATAATTTGGCTTTTGACTGACACACAAATCCAGCTGAAATCAGAACTGACAAATGATTGACTGATAGAACTTGAACACAAATGGCCATGAGCAACGTTGAGATTTGTGTTGGCAGTTTAGCAGTTTAAACTTTGGTTTAGGTCTTCAGCCTAACAATTAATTAAAAAAATCAAAAATCAAAAAAATTTTGGACGGGATTGAACCCGTGTGGATAGGCAGGGACTCGCCTATGAATCAAACGCACTAACCACTAGGCCACCAGGGTAATCGGGTTGACTGCGTGAAAAAGGATGTTATTGCTTATTGTTTCTTTTTTGCTTATTGTTTCTTTTGCTTTGCTTAGTTTTTTATGCAAAATGATTGAAAACCGTTGTTAGGACTGTTTCGTCTTTTCATCTTTTGGTTTATATATTTATTTTCTTTTGGTTGGTATAGTTTTGGTTTATAATTCCAATAATTCCAATAAATCAGTCATCCTGAGCTAGACTGGAGCACTATATCCTTGGTTCTACCCTTCTATTCCTTGTTTCTACCCTTCTATTCCTTGTTTCTACCCTTCTATTCCTTGTTACTCCCCTTCTATTCCTTTTCTTTCTCCATCTATCACTCCAAATGAGCATTTCCCCTAACCTCATTGAATCCTTCTATGCCCTTTCTGATTTCATCACATCTCCGGCTGTTATTCTAAAGGAATTTGAGGCTTTTTCTATAGAATCCCCTTTCGCCTCATTCAAAAGAGTAATCAAAATAGAGGAATTGGCCCACTCTTCCGCCTTTACACCCAAAAAAAGTTTAAAAAATGGATTGAGTGGATGCGAGAAAAGATTAACGATCTCATTTCAAAGTATGATATCAGCTAAACTGAAAAACTTTAACCTTAAATAGAAAAAACATTTGATCTCTTCAAAGAAAACTCAAAAAGTTACATTAAAGATATTCAACTAAACGTCTTTTTAGATACCGTAATCCACTCTTTTATTTATTAAAAATCTTTAATCAAGAGCTTTTTCAGTTTTAACTTGGAGAACTTTAGCTTGGAGCTTGAAGGGTGAAGCTTGATGTTCAGATTTCCTCCGTTTTGTTCTAAGTCATTGCCGACAGTCATTCGTGTCGAATAAATAGACTTTATAAGGTTTCAATGAAGTAAAGTTCCAGTTTTTTGTTCTGTAAAAGCAGTAATCTACAAGTTCCAATACAGAATGTCAGTCTTGAATTGAAGAATTAGAAAGATAAAGCTTTTCGAGAGGTTTTCGATAGGTTTACGTAGCTTTTCGTAGCTTTACGTAGCTTTTCGTAGCTTTTCGTATCTTTTTGTCTTAGCTATTTGTCTGCTTTCCTTTTTTTTGCTTCTAATTTACCTTCTGGCTTTCAATTTTCAAATAAATTTCCAAATTTTCATCTTTTTTTCAAATAAAACCCATAACGTCAAGAAAAAAGTCGTTTTTTAAAAAAAACATTGCATCATTTGCTGAAAATGACAGCTGAAAGTGAAGTTGTTTCAACTTTTTTCAACTTTTTTGAGTTCTTTTGAAAAAATTGAGAATATTGCGTCAATTTGGCGATGAGAGATCGATTTTTCGACTAAAAATTGATGAAAAGATTAACCTTTAAAGTCAGAAAAGATTAACCAAAAGTTTAAAGTCTATTCAGCTAAATTGAGATTATTTTCGGATTAAGCTATTCGGCAAAAAATTTTTTCGTTTAAAAATATCAAAATGCGTATCGAAAAGCAAAATGCGTACTTGTTTTCGTAAAAAAAAATGCAGAAATTCGCGTGAATCTGTGTTTAAAAAAAGGTGGCTTTATCGAAAAAGGATTGATTTTTTTCTGATGTTGGCGATTTTTCTGAGCAGTTTATAAACACTGGGTGGGGGAGGGCTGGGGAGGAAAGAAGGCACTTTCCCATTGCTGGTCAACGATCAGTCACTCGCAGAATAGACAAGGTAGAGATATAGGTACAAATATAGAAAAGATAACAAGTTAGGAAGAGAAATCAAGGACAGATATAGAATAGATAACAAGCTAAGGACAAATTTAGAGTAGATAACAGGCTAAGGACAGATATAGAATAGTACTGTACTGAATAGTACTGTACTTAAATACTATTCAACTGTATTCAATGAGTACTGTAAGTATAGGATTATTAAAATCAGAAAGGTTGAGATGAAATCAGAGAAATGAAGCCGAAATCATAAGAACACATTTTTCTCTCGGCTACTTCGAAAAATCAAGTCTCAAAAGGCACATAACTTTAACGATAGTGTTAAATTTTAAGCTGGTTTTAGAGAAAAGATTTTAAGGTTTAAAATGCTACCAAATAGAGGTTGATTGGTGAAACGAATCCTGAGCAAAATTGAGACAAAAGACAAAGACAAAAGACAAAAGACAAAGACAAAAGACAAAGACAAAGACAAAGACAAAAGGCAAAGACAAAAACTCTGAATCGCATTCCCCCTAGTCACCTACTTGATTGGTGATTTCGTTTTATTGGATCTACCAATGAAAAAACTCAAATTTAATAGCAATACGATAAAGAAGAAGAGACAATTCAAATGACTTTCTTGATCCGAAAAATTTCCAGAAAAAAAGAATCCAGAAATCATTTGAAAGAAAAAAGATCCGGAAATCATTTCTCGAAATCTCAGATCTTCTTTTTTTTTCCGCCAAATGTTTACAAAAGAAAAAAAAGCCAAAAAGCTATTGAAATCTTTTTGCGAGAAAAGCTGTGAACTCATAAAAATGACAAAAAACGTTTGATTTTCTTGAAAAGCAAAAGAATATTTGAATGGATTGGGGAAAACGAAGAGGGAGTATTGTGTTGAGTTTAGGAAAAATGACTAAGTCGACTCATAGAAATGTATCTGAAAAGCTTTAGGAAAGAGAAATGGGAATGGATTGGGTAACTGAACCGAGGGAAATCGGTATATCCCATAAATTTGAGTGAGTCAGATAGAGTGCGTGATTTAAGCACAAAGTACACGAAAGTCAGAGCGCTTACTAGACACTCTTCTGGGCTTACTACCGACTTTTAAAGCCTAATTTGTAGCTAATTTGTAGCTAATTTGTAGCGAATTTCTCACTGATTTCGAAAAGCTATCTCATTTTTGTGAATTATGTTTCAATTTTTGAAAGAATTGGATTTTAAGGACTTTGGACTTTGGACTTCTCCTATTCGTCATAGGAGAAGTCATCAAAAAAAGCCATAGGAGAACAAGTCACGACTCGAACCAGAGGAGAACGGTCGGCACAAAAATTATATAGCTTGTCATTAATCAGAACAAGTCAATTTAATCTTAACTTACCGTAAATACTCTAAAAGTCGACCGACGAGCGACGGACGGCCATAATGACTGCGTACAGACGCGTAGTCTAACTTTGAATGTCCCATTCTCCGCGCTGGTTTAAGCTACAGGGTTCGCTTGGTTGTCAAATGATAGCCCTTGAAATCTACTATTTTTTGATACTAAAAGTTTAGCTGGGAAAGATCTAGAAGCTGCAAAAAAAAACTGATTTTCTAAAAAGAAGTTAGACGGTGAATCAGTAAAAATCAATCAATCAAAAATCAAGAAGCAGTAAAAAATTAGCTACAAAATTGGCTTTAAAAGTCGGTGGTAAGGCCAGAAGAGTCCCTAGCTGAGTTTAGTTTTGAAAAAAATCATCTAAAAGGATGTAATCTCATGAAAAAAAGACGGTAAAGACAGTAGAAAGTTTTTTAAATTTAAAAAGCATTTTTTTTAAATTAGAAAGCGATTACGGTAACTAACGGTTACGGTAGCAGCTTTTAAAACTATGAAGATATTCAATTTAGCTGAATAACCTGATCAAAACTTGTTTTTTCATTTATTGTTTACAAATCTGAACTAAAATTCGAAATTCCTCTGTTTGTTGATCGAAAAGTCCAAGTCTTTTCGACGAAAAATCTCAACTTTTCAGTAAATAGTGAAAAAAATGGGAAAAGATTTGCACTTAGCAAGAAAATAACCACAATACGCAAAAGCAGCTGTTGGGGAAAGAAAAAAATCAAATGAAATAAGCTTGTTTGCGTGTTTTGTTGTTGAAAAGCTTGTTTTCACTCAAAATAAACAAAAAAACATAGCAAATAGCTATTTTAATGGAATCTTCATTAAATTTGGCTCTAGAAAAGTAGAATTTGTTTTGTAGACTCACCGATAAAAACATAGAGAAAATTAGTGTCAAAGTTGACCTTACAGATAGGAGTCTCGGAGTTTGGGGAATTTTCTATTTTACTCTATAACTCGACTTCCAATTATCAGATCGATTTAAGGTTGGTTTTAAAATGATCTTT